GATCTTTTACTTAGCTTCTTAAATAATTACTACTAGATTAATGATTTATTCCTTAACTAACTAATCTATGTTGATTGGTAGCTTATTAATCTTTATTGAATCACAAATCATGTCTACAGTGCTTTGGAAAGAGATGAGGATAAAAATATGAACTAAATGCAACTTTCCAAAATATGCTAAAAATGGGTCTCCGCTCGAGTGCCACTTTGGTTGCTTGAGCGGACTGTAAAATTTGAAAACTTCTGGGAGCTTGATTTCCACGCTCGAGCGAGACTTTCCTCGCTCGAGCGGACAACGTAAATTCTAAAAATTCCAGAATTGCAATTTAAATTTAATTTTGGTAATCAAAGCCTCAAAACATGTATTTTTGGTACACAAAAATAGAGAACCACTGTATGATTTAGTAAACACTTCCAATTAGAAAATATTCATTCAAAATCATGTTCCAATTGCCCAAATTTAGTTTTAATTCATCTTATTAATATCAACCCACAATTCTAAGATATAAATTAGGCTTTCCAATTCTTGAAATTGCATGATGCATGTGTGATTGAAACTCAATTTCATATAAGACAAATAAATTCAAACCCAAAATGGTTATTTTCAAATTAACTTCTATGATTTTGAATCTAATTCAATTCCTACACCATTTTACTAATTCCGTTTAATGTACATGAAATTGAATTTATAGGACCCTTAGGAAAATATTTGCATGTATGACATTAAGATTAAATCTAATTAATTTTCTATATTCAAAATTAAATCAATGTTTAATTTTCCATAAATTTGATTTTTCTTATAAATTTTTTTTCCTTCTTCTCTTTAAAACATGAAATTGTTTACCTTAAATTCCTCAAAATCCATAATGCATGTATAAAACACTTATCAAATCCAACCAATTTTACATCATCTAGCTCAATTTATAATTTGACTTCTTAATTTATATCACAATTTAATCTCAAGCTCAAAAACTTTAAAATATGAATTAAATTCTAAAATCTTGAAAACTTACCATGCATGTAATGATAAACTTCAAATATGTGAAGGATGAAGAAAATCAAACTCAAATATTTACTCACAACATCAATTATTTAATTATCAAACTTAACCCAAACCTTCTACATTCTTCTCATGTCATGAAATTAAACCCAATTACCCCTCAATTTCAGCTTGTAAATAAATCATCTACAAAATTTATGTCTCAATTTCTTACCTTAAGTCTTCAAATTGATGAATTTCTTGGCAAATTCTTGAATTTTTCTTTAGTTCTCTACTTTTCCCTAGCTTCTCTTCCCTTAGTTTCTCCTCTTCTTGAGCTGAAATTTCTCCCTTCTCTCTCTTGGTTCTCTCTCACGGGTTGCCCATACAAAGATGAAGCTACACTCTCTTGATTTCAATCTCACTCCAGCACAAGAGTGCTTCCAATAAGTAATAAATAAAAAAAAAGAGTTGCCTACTCTCTCCTCATATACACACACACCATTCCTTACACTGCACACGTGCACTCACCCTTGAATACCAGCACATCATTCACATGCACACACACACACACACAAAGATTGCTTAGTACACACACACCCACATACACCCTCAAATTTAACACCATTCAATTTATGATTAAAATTAACTTAATTAGGCAACACTTAATCTAAATAAATATTGATTAACACATAATTAAATTAATTGTAACAAATCATAAATCTCTCATAATTTAATTAATCTATTTGACTTCCATTAGAGCCTAATTAAATATATTTAAATTTATCAGTCCAAATCAGATTTTTAATCCATATCGCAAAAGGCTCCAATTATTAAATTAAACTTATTTCCAACCTTAATTTTGGTTTCTTAAATCATTTAGGTCTTCAATTTCTGATCAGACTCTAAGTTTCCGTCAATTAAATTACATATTCAAATATGACACCCCATAAATAAATTTAATTCGCAATAATCACAATTCTCAATCTTCATAATTTAATTAGCTTAATTAACTCAAATTTGGATCTAATTACTCGAACCTTAATTTTACTAAACTGGAACGAATATTTAATTAAACTCCCAAATGGGTCCATAATTAAGATTAAATTGACTCAACTTCTTAATTTCACTTCTTTAAACCATTTGGACCCTTAATTTCCAATTCCCAAAATAAGCACTTAATAGAACCTTAAATGAATCAATCTCCATACTTTTCGTGAATCCCAGATTAAATTATAATAATCGGCACTTAAATTTCAAACCCTCTTAATTACCCAAGTACTAGTCATTATACTTGATGGAGTCGTTACACCATGTAACTCAATTTCTTACACAAAATACACTAGGAGGTAAAAAGTGAGTTCTGGCTTGTGTCTAAACATCAAGGAAGAGCCCTACATATTTTTCTTGGGCACTTATCATATCACCATCCTAATTAAATAGCTTATGAGTTGGAAGTCAGCCTAGATGTAATTTAGGAACATCGCCATGCATATAATTTTTAATGCAATAGCTTGCTATATTGCTGTTGAATGGAAGAATTTGTAATGTATCCTGGGAGACACGGGAATGAAGTCCTATGAGTGTGCAAATGTCGAGACGCTACATGATTGTGAATTTGTGATATATATTATATAATATATAAATAAGGGTAACCTACATGGTTGATCTATCTAGTTTGAGCAAAGTTTCACTTCGATCCTCATAATTTCAATTTGAACAATTTGAACCCCACATTTTCTATTTGTTGCAATGTGGTTCCTCTATCACCGTTAAAATTTTGAAACGGAAAAAATCACATGCAAAACTAGAGGGACTGACAGTCCCTATAGTTTCTTTTGAATTCCACTTTGGTCCCTCTAATTTTGCATGTATTCTTTTTCTGTTCAAAATGTTAACAGCGCATGATGAAGGGACAACGATCAAAATTGGGAGTATGGGGTTCAAATTGAAACTAGGGGGACTAAAGTTACACTAGCTTAAACTATGGGCACTAATAGTGTATTTTACTCTATAAATAATATGCAAAAATTACAAATACAACTAGTGAATTACAGATCTTCATATCTTATATATAATATGATTTATAACATAGAATAAGAAAACACTGAAGGCTGGCATCAACGCTGAAAAAAGAAACCATGTGGGTTGGAAGGTTTGAGAAGTTGTGAACTTAGGGAAGGGGGGAAAAAAAAAAAAAAGAAGGTAGAGAGGAGTTTCTTTCTTGGTCGAAATCTCTAGATTGTTACACCCTTAGTTGAAAACTATGAAGAAATGCACAAGAAGTGGGTAGATCTAGCAAGTAGAGCTTGAATGAGTGGATATAGGTTTATAATACAAGTAGAGAGGCGTATCAAATGGAAAAATGAACAAAACTGGTGAAATGAAAGGAAACATTGCTTGAGGACTTGCTTTTTTAACAAATAGTGTATATCAATGCGTAGGAGTTCATAAAGGGTGATTTATCAAGAGTCATCCGTTTCTCCCCAATATGGAAACGATACCTGATACGTATTAGCTGCATTGATCAATATTTATTTATTTTTTTTTACGCCAATACCAAACAAAGAATCCGAATTGGGAGCACAAAATTCGATAAGTAACAGTTGATACATTATGTAACAACCAGTTTTTCAATCCATGATAATCTCACTGTAGGTGGAAACAATACACTTATTTAAAGATTCTAGAGTGTAAGTTGATTTTGACCTTAGACTTAGTCATCAGACAAAGGCATAGTTTTCAATATATTTGTGTTGCTGCTAGTATCATTGTGAAAGAAATGGACCTAGGTCTTGTTTGTATACAATTATTCTGCAGCAGACAAGCCTATTTATTCTCTTTCATAATTATTTAAAATAAAAAAAAGGTGCATGATGCTTAAAGAACCATTTAGGCGTCATTTGGGAACTTAGCTTTTAGGCTAAAAAAGCCAAAAAACTAATAAAAAGCTAATCATATACACCAGTTATTCATGTTTTTTCATAAAACTAAAAAAAGTTATTCCCAAACACATTAACTTTTTTCACTTCATAAAAATGCCAAAAAGCCAAAGTCACTAAAAAAGCCAAACCCCAAACGAGGCCTTAGCTAATCTATACACTTTTAAAAGCTTGGTCACAAACCTAGTTGCAGGCAATCTTCTTTTTTTTTTTTTTTTTTGTTTCTTCTCCAGTTTTCATGTGATAGTTGATATCCCTTCTAAAATTTTGTCATATATCCTTGTGTATATTTACTTGTTTACAAACTTTGGAGCTTTTCAGCTTGTATGAGAGTTATTATTCATTATTTTTCATATGCTTTTCTTGCACGTTTTTGTCATCTTGCAGTTCGAAGAAATTTTTTGTCAGCATGCTAATCTTTTTTTCAATATTAATGTCAATTATGTGTTGTAACACAAAAATATTTTAAAATTAGGTTAATTACACTTAGCATCCCAGCATTTTCACTAAAATCTCACTTTGACCCCTCCATTTTTAATTGTAGTCAACACCTTACACCTTAAGTCTAGTTGCAATATCAGCCTTATGTCCATCTAACGTTAACGAGGCTAATAGAACTTGTCATGTGAGCCATATTCACATTATTCTCGCCTCGTTAGCACTTCTACACTTTCATCAAAATCTCACTTTTGTCATTGCACTTTCACCATAATCTGATTTTAGTCCTTTTACTTTTAATTTCCGTTAGACTTTTTAATGGTAGATGGATGGAAGGGTGACATCGCAACTTGACTTAAAGTGTAAGGGGTTGACTGTCACAATTGAAAGTGAAGGGACCAAAGTGAGAGTTTGATGAAAGTGTAGGGATGCTAAGTGTAATTAAACCTTACCATTTTGTGTATTAATAATGTGAATGTGAGTGAGATACGTTAATTGCAGGATGATGATTATTGACAAATACAATGTGTTTTCTTTTTCTTTTGTTGTCTTTATTTCTTTGTTTCTTTCTTTCTTTCTGTTTTTGTTTTTTTGATTTTGTCTTGTTTTTTTGTTTTTTTTCCCCTCCTGCTTCCCTCTATGTTCAGGTGAAGAGTTATTGGTTGAATTCTGATGGTTCCGACGTGGTTCTCCACATGATAGATAACTTCCAGCTCTAGTTATCTGCAGTTGGTGATTCAATGATGGGTTAGATACCTTGTCCCTTGTATATCATGTATATTGTCAATGGCACACAAAGATCTTGCACCATACATTATGACGTCAAACTGGACTATATAGACAGCGAAATATCTCTTTTGGTAGTTTATTAATTTTGTATGCAAACCTTATGTTTATGTAAAATAGATCTTCTGTTTTTTTCTCTACATACTATTTGGTTGTCAACAAATTCATTTTATGAAAATTAGTAAATGCTGCTATGTGAGATTACTTTGCTGTTAATGAGTCAATAGTCATTTTGTGTTGTTTGGTTAGTTGTAAGCAAGCAAAATGTTGGGATTGTTATCCATGTTATTATTCTCATAGTCACTCATTTTGTGTGATTGTCTTTTTACTATCGCATTTTCAGCACGTTGACTGAGTGCTCTGTTTGTGCGGCCAACCATAAGAGGCAAAGGTCCTCTAGGAGGATGAGCTATGTAGTCCAATACCATCATTTTCCATCCTTACCGTATTTGTTTCATTTGTATCGTAGACATGCTTTTGCTCTCTCACTATTAGGCCTTATGTAATTTACTTTAGAACTAAAGAAATTTTTTGATGCAAGGAACTTCTGCAATGTCAGTTAATTTTTTCCTCTAGTTCTGTAAAGGGTAGAAAAGTTATTTTTTGAATTTGTTAGAGACCTTGAACATTCCCCACAAAAATAATTAATTGTTCCACCAAAAAAGTTTGTTAAATTTTCTGCTCTTCTTTTTGGCTTAATAGTTGGAACGTTTTGTCCCATTCAAGGTTTGAAAATTGGTGTGACGTAACAGTTGCAGCACTAGGCGCAACCCGTTTCACCCGATTTCATGGTGTGACAGAAAATCACATGGGTAATGACCGCTACAAAATCTGTAACATCTGCAACGGTACCGTAACATCCGTAATGGACCGTTACGGGCTGTTACACCACCTATGCACCTTCTACACTGACTATTTGAAAAAAAAAACAAAAAACAAAAAACTTACAAAAATAAGTTGTTTGGAAATTGTACACAACAAAAATTAGTTGTTTCCATGCAAGTGCTTTCCATAGTTAAGGAAAATGTACTCAACATTCTGAAATCTAATCCTTTTTGGATCTGATCTATCTACTTGCAATTCATCCGGTGGCTTAACGATCGCCCAAGCCCCCTGATGGGCAAAGCTGTTTGGAAACAGTGCTCTTTTATCCAAGGAAATCAGTTTCACTTCTTTTCTATCTAAACTGCCAAAGTGTTTCTGTTTCCTAAGAAACAGTAACGAAACATTATTGGAATTCTAAAATTTCAATGTTTCCCCCAAAACACTGTAACACTACAAAAGATATTGAAATAACGAGTTGTTTCGACACCTATTAGTAATATCCAACAATGGTCATTTCAATTTGCATTTTTTGTCTTAAAGAGAAGATCTTAAGGCAAAAAATAAATAAATAGATAAATAAATAAATAAATAAAATATAAAAAAATTCATAATTTATTAGAGAATCTGAAAAACTAGCAAGGATAAGAGGAGAGACGGAGGAGAAATATATACATACGATTAAGTCATGTTTTATCTTTCTTGGTTGACATGAAGTACTTTTTCTTAACGAAGATTGTTACTAGTATTTTTTTCTTTTCTTGCATTCTGTAAATATTTTTTTCTTACAAGGAAAAACTCCCTTCCTCAACTACGCCATTAAACCTTTTGTGTTAATAGCTTCTTATATTCATAGACCTCAATATATTCAATTATTTAAGGGTAATTTACACCGTTGGTTCCTTTAGTTTGAGTGAAATTTCACTTTGGTCCGTGTAATTTTAATTTTATCAATAACAGCTTCTCTCAGCTTCATTCCCTATTTGTCTTGGCCGATCCCCCTTCTGTCAATTCCACCTATAACCATACCATCCTTTTTGCTGTCAATATTCTATGTTGCATATGAATATCCTTATTTTTCTTCTTTCTTGTTTTTTCTTAATCCTTAGTTGGTGACCTCTCATTGCTCATTCATTAAGTTTCTACTTTCTATATTGTCTCACCATGCATCCACCATGCTTGAGCTAGACTCATTTCTGAAACAAAGAATGACAGGCAGCGGTTCACTCTGGTCATGATTTTGTTTTTTTCCGATGACAAACCCACATTTTTTTTGTTAAGTAGAGAAGAGGGGAATATTTTAGGGATGGTCTGAGATTTATTTAATTTTTGATTGGAAAGTGATCATCTGAGATATTATACAATAAATGTACGAGGTGGAACAAAACAATGAAAGAGAGGGAGGATTTCTTGAGATAGGATAATGGCATTTAAGATGCAATCCTGCATCTTACAGAGCTCATTCTAATTTAATTGTTATATATTGATCATTTATACTGTAGGCCCTCTTGAACATTCATGTAGAATTGTATTGCATTTTCCTGTACAAACAGAAAGAAATCAACTGAAACTTAAGAATTTGATGAGGAAGTTTTCCTCGTAGTTCCTCTTAATCTTACTGCTATAGTTTTCCTGCAAATAAATCTGAATTTGGACTTCTGACAAAACCAACTGTTTTATAGTTTGCTATGTTTGATATACTCTCTTGTTTGTTATGGGCACTTTAGAACATAAACTGCTAGAGTGAGTCTTGGTTGAGGAACGGGAGGGGTAGGTAGCTGACACAAGATAAGCATGCCGCCCATCTGCTGGCTGGGCAAATCGAAGTTCTCTTCCGGTCAATTGTCCACCCAGTCAGGAGGGGTAGCCCACTTGGCTTTAGAAGTTTGAATTGCAAGGAATGTGTAGGAGGCATCGAAACTATATGCTTGCATTATATATTTATCATGTGTATCTGTTGTTTGTGTGTGTGTGTGTGTGTGTGTGAGAGAGAGAGAGAGAGAGAGAGAGAGAGAGAGAGAGAGAGAGTCTCTTTTGCTGAAAAATGATAATTTGGAATAATTTCAAGAAATTCAAAATTATCTATCAGACAAGAAAAGTCAGAATATGTCTTAAGTTAGTAAGTTTCATCATGACAGACCAAGATTTTGTGACAAGAGAACCATTAGCCATAGAAAGCTTATAGTGCGAGGCTGTAGTTACACAATTGGAGCATCACCTGATATATCAAGAGTGATTGCTAGTGAGGTAAATACCCTAATTGGTTTAGTGATTTTTGTATGCCCAAATCATGATTACATAGACTTTATTCATTCCAAACATGGTTATGTTGCTCTTTTTTTTCCATAATGAATAATATGCAGATTTATTTGTATGAAATAAAATTTGTCAATTGCAATTTACGGACACTTGAAATATTATTTCTAGGTGGTGATTTAACTTTGTGGATGTGCCGAGATAAATGGCTCCAATATTATTTGTTTGTCCTGTGTGGATAATGGGACTACGAATATGAGTCAGATAGATATCATTGAGGTTTATTACTTCTTTAATTGGGGGGTTCTTTTGGGGTCTTCAACAACATTGTCTCCAATGGAACTTCATTCCCTCTTTTGGGCAAAAGTTTAGCAAGTAATGACTCTGACACCCTACCTAATCTCTCAATATTGTGAAGCTCTTGCCTTTTGTATTATAGCAGCACTTTGAGTTACCCTTTACAAGTTTACCTTAAAACATTACAAGCTAGGTGGATAGCCATTTGAGCTCTTGCACAGTGTTACCAAATTCCGTGGAGTCACCCGTGAAGAGTGCATTACTAGTATAACTTCATTCTTATTTTGATCGTTTCTCAAATGGAAATTCTAACTAGGATAAACCTTAGTTGCACAAAGCGGGGGTGGGGATGAGAGCGGGATTGGGGGTTGAGGGTGAGAGCAAATAACAGTTTCTTAGGTTGAGAGTGGCTATCGAGGGAGAGTGTATATATTTTATATTTAAATATATACTAGCAATTATTTTTTTTCTGCTTAATTGCAATATATGTATTAAAATATGAATTATTATTGGAGATTGATGTCAACTACAAGTTATCTTGTTAAGGATAAATAAATATTATGTGAATAGAAAGCATTAAAATAAATTTGAGTTAATTTTCTTTTGTTTATTTGAGATTTGTATGTTTGATATGTTCAATCTCAGTAGGGAGCGAATTTCTTACAAGTTTTTTACTTGGGAGTGCGGAATCGCATGTCTAAGTAAGAAACTTACCCAAGTAAGAGTTTCCTGCTATTAAGGAGAAAACATGCAAACTCTAAGAGTTCCCCAGTTGTCTCATAGATCTCTTTCAGAGTTGAATTGTCGAAGTCGGTGCAAAGTAGAAAAGCACCTGTCTATAATTACTCAAAATCAAACTAACCAACTGGAAATAATTGTTTATAAATTTTTGTTTGTCATCTGTTGGAACATGCTGGTCAGTTTTAATTGTAGCGTTTTCATTTTTGTCCGTAGTCAATATAGAAATGTGGAAGTTGCTATCATGTTTTCTTATTTCCCTTTTTTGTTTCTCTTATTCTACTCTGACAAGATATCCTGAAACACAGTCAGTTTTAATTGTAGTGTTTTCATTTTTGTCTGTAGTCAATATAGAAATGTCAAAGTTGCTATCATGTTTTCTTATTTCTCTTTTTTGTTTCTCTTATTCTACTCTGACAAGAGATCCTGAAAAATAGACTTTCACCGATTTTACTCACATTGTGAGTCAATCGTGTTAATTGCCTGTTGCATATCTATAATGATTTGTTCTTCTTAAGATTCCAATATTTTTTAGTATGTGAATTCTGGAGGATGAATATGAAAATAATTTAGTAAGACTCCTCAAAGTGGAGATACATGTGCTACCTCATAGCAGTTTTTGTAATTTTTTATTTTTATTAATTTTCTCTCAACCACACGGTCCACACCTTGGATTTGTGGGTTTTTGCTTTGAATGGTAGGACTTCATCACTGGTTATTTTTCTATTAAAATTTCTGAAATCTTTAAAACTTAATACAATATTACACACCATAGCACACATGGAATTTCATGGATTGCACCTTATAAACATTAGTCTCATGACTGAAGATTATCTGTTATATCTCATCAGAAGTCACTAATTGGTACATTTTAGTTACTGAATATATTACAGCAGGATACATGATACCCAGTTAGAAGCTATTTTAGCCCCATCTTGACTTGCATAACGTAATGTGATGAATCATCTCGGTGATGATGCATGCCAAGAGCATAGGTAACTGGTTTGTAACTTCAATTCTTATTAATTTAAATCATAAGTTGCTTACTTAATTAAGCTCTTTGATTTAACATACTATATTGATGATTATGGTACACAAGGTTCTGAAAAGCTATTGCGGTCGCCGTAACGGTGGCGGTAGCGCAGTTGCAGTTGCGGGGTGTAAAGGCCGTAGCGTAACGGTTGCGGAAACCGGAACCGTAAATTTTTTTATTTTTCGCACAATTTGAAAAAAATTTACTGATACGCATATTTTTTTTCCATGATTATATTTATTGGGTTTAAAATAAATATTGATCAATTTTTGTAAATTTTTAAGTATGATCCAATATATTTCACATTTTTAAATCACTATAAGCTGAGTTTTTTACATTTTATTTTAATAATTAATGACTTTATATTATACAAAAAATCAATCACTAACTATTATATATAAGATGAACAATGACAAAAGAAAGAGAATAAATAAAAGCCTAAATATATATATATATATATACATATTTTAACCAAGCCAAATAGAAAATGACCATACTTATTATTATTATTAAACAATATATAGATAGACACACACAAACAAATTGGTTGAGTGATAGCATTTAAATAGAATAGTATAACAGCTTCAACAAATCAATAACATGTTTTTCATCTTCCCTCTCCTCTCTCTCTATCTCTTGCTCATCCATCTTCTCTCTTTATCTTCCCTCTTCCCCCATTTTCAGCTTTTTTTTTTTTGTGTTTTTTCGAAAGAAGTAGTTCGGAACCGTTACGTAACGGTGCATAACAAGTCGTTACAACTGTTACGGCATTGTTACGACCGCTACGGCAGCCGCTACAACCGACATACCTGTGAATCTCAATCACATTGCAAAAGCGACCGTAACGGGTAGCGGTAACCACCACAACCGTTACGTGACGGCATTACGTAACGATTGTGACCGCTTTTTAAAACCTTGATGGTACATATACCTGTAAGTCTTAAGAACACCCTAGGGCTTGAGCGTTCAAGAAGTAAGTTAACCAGGAATCTCTCTTCTCTTTTTTTATTATTATTTGTACTCTCTCTCTCTCTCTCTCTCTCCATATCTTTTTCTTCCAAGTTAAGCAAGAAACTATCTTTTTTAAATTGTTCTTTGTTTTTTTCCCCTTTCACTTTGTTATCTATATGTCCAAGTTGTTCTCTCTCTCTCTCTCTCTCACACACACTCACACACACACACACACATCTTTTTCCATCCAAGCCAACCTAGGAATCTATGTCTCTAATTTATTTGTTCTTTCTTTTTTCTTTCATTTTGTCTTTTGAGTTGTAATCAAACCGTATCTGGGATTTTCAAAAGATCATCTCGTCGATACCTTGACTCTATGTTTGGTGCAACTCAATTATAGTCTAAGAAGCACTGGTACTTCTAACGAGGTGACCTTATCATGTTAGACACTTAATCCTAATTTGACCTGTTTTATGTTTCTAATCCCACATCTCTTCTATAAAGGTCCCCTAATACGTTTTAGGCTTTAGGCCTTTTATTTTGAGCAGCTTTTATAGTTTGTGACAGAGTTTTGAGTGTTCTTCAGACTTTGCATCTTTAGGAGAACTTCTCTTGAGTTTTAAATAAAAACCTTCACCCTTTGCATAGCACAGCGTTGCATCATCCTAACATCCCATGGCCTTTTGGGTGGTGAATGAAGCCATCGGAGCATGGAGATCGAGGTGAGAAGCTTCGTAGTGATCTAGCAGATCAAAGGAGGCTGACTTGGTCAAACCGAACTCGTGGAGCATGAGGAGGATTTCAGAGTTAGGTGAATTGGGGGATGGTTGTAATTTCTTTCATCTAAGTCCTGTAAACTTTTGATTTGTTTAGTGGATTGTTTGGGGTGTTGGGATCATTCTTTTTATCTCTTCGGAGAGTTTTGTCATTAGTTTTCATGTTAAATCACTGCATCTATTTATAACTTCATTGTTCTATGATTTATTTAATCACTCTTAGTCTAAAATTGAAAATTTTAATTGGCTGGTACTTTTTAAAAGCGAATTAATTTTGGGTGATTGAAGGTCTATTAACCCCCCTCTAAGCACAATATCCTCGGACTCCAATAATATTTTTAATAGGGAAAGTTGAACAATTGACAAATTTATTCCTGTATCAAATATCTTTCAGTACAAAAATGTCTGCTTGACATCTTTAAACAAATAATAGGCACACACACACACAACATCAGATCAAACAAACCCCTTTTGAACATCTGTATATTGAAATCAACAACATGTGAAACAATTGAAGAATTTCTTCCTACATCCAATATCTTTCAGTACATAAATGTCTACTTGACATCGTCAACAAATAATAGACCCAAAAAAAGTTAAAAAACAAAAAGAAAAAAAGAAAACAAAAACATCAAACAAAAACCTTGTGAACATCTGTATATTGAAATCAACAACATGTGAAACAATTGAAGAATTTCTTCCTACATCCAATATCTTTCAGTACATAAATGTCTACTTGACATCGTCAACAAATAATAGACCCAAAAAAAGTTAAAAAACAAAAAGAAAAAAAGAAAACAAAAACATCAAACAAAAACCTTGTGAACATCTGTATATTGAAATCAACAACATGTGAAACAATTGAAGAATTTCTTCCTACATCCAATATCTTTCAGTACATAAATGTCTACTTGACATCGTCAACAAATAATAGACCCAAAAAAAGTTAAAAAACAAAAAGAAAAAAAGAAAACAAAAACATCAAACAAAAACCTTGTGAACATCTGTATATTGAAATCAACAACATGTGAAACAATTGAAGAATTTCTTCCTACATCCAATATCTTTCAGTACATAAATGTCTACTTGACATCGTCAACAAATAATAGACCCAAAAAAAGTTAAAAAACAAAAAGAAAAAAAGAAAACAAAAACATCAAACAAAAACCTTGTGAACATCTGTATATTGAAATCAACAACATGTGAAACAATTGAAGAATTTCTTCCTACATCCAATATCTTTCAGTACATAAATGTCTACTTGACATCGTCAACAAATAATAGACCCAAAAAAAGTTAAAAAACAAAAAGAAAAAAAGAAAACAAAAACATCAAACAAAAACCTTGTGAACATCTGTATATTGAAATCAACACCATGTTACCATAAGCAGTATTTCTATTTCTTCACTCATGCTCCTTTATTCATTACCTTGCATTACTTCACAATTTTCTTTACAACCTTTTTTTAGGCCTCATCAGCCTTGTAGGTCTTTATTATGCTAGTGAGGCGGCTAAAAAATCATGCTCTGTACACCATTTCAGATTAGGTTCAAGACCTACTACAATTCACTTCCATGGATATTCTCTGTGTTGACAATGACCTCCTTGAGTGCTTGCTTTTCGGTTGAGACTTCTGATTCTTCTGTCAGCATACTTGATAAACTTTTGCAGAACTGCTCACCACGGATCAAAATGAGTAATCTTGAATCCAAAAATATAATTGACATATAAAAAAATACGTATATATATAGAGAGAGAGAGGGGGTATATGTATATGTATGTATATGGCTTATTACCTCTGTGTACAATACTAGTTCCCCTGCAGATTTTGATATTTCTACGACACAATGTGTTGGTGCCACCTCAATTACCTGAATTTTGCCACACACAATGGTTATAATCTCATATGGTGCTTTTGAAGGGAGAATATATGAAAATTATTTTACCTCTGCTGATAGGTCAAAGCATGATCTTGAACATCTTGTCATCTTCTGTTTTGGATGAATTTTCATCTGATATTATCAAGAAGATATAATCTAGCTGGGAAAGAATGTAGGATATCACACTTGTGTGAATAAGAAACCATAGGTTTGTCAAGATTTTACCTTAGAGTTGTTCATCCTTTCGACTGAGAGACACGCATCTTTTGCAGCAGCCTCAATTTTCTCTATGGTTTCATTGATTGTAAGTTTGGATCCAAGCGTTGTTTTCTGCTTTTCATTATCCTAAATCGGGACGAAAGATTTTATATTGGAAGAAAAGAAGCATTTATGACTATTGAACTTAATTCAAGATGTGTATAACTTGCCTGTTCTTCGAATAGTCTTGACAAATCAAGGTCTTGTGACATTGCTATTAGCTGAAAAGCATTGATGAAACTTGGAATATGTGGTATCTTTGTCTTAGCCTCATTTTCCTACACGAGATACAATACATTTAGTTGAAATTGTGAAATTCATTATGTTGCTACTTCATTTTCATCATTACCTTGATTGAATCGAAAGCTGCGTGAACATCATCCAAGTTGATATTTTCATCACATTCAATCCCCACAGCAGGCTCATAATTTGATTGAAACCACTGATCTTCAATAATCTCTGGTATAGTAATTCTCTGCAGTGACAAAACAAGAAATTGTTGTATTTTCATTCTAATTCCACACCTTGTTTTTGTTTTACGTATGATGGTGTGTAGAGCACTACCGTTCGAGGATTTGGATCAAGTATCTTGGAAATCAGTTTCTTCTGGCTTTCTGTAAACCACTCCGGAAATGTGTATTGTGCTCTCAATATCTTTGCAGGACAAATTTATTAGATATATCACAATTTTGTGATTCTGTGAAACTTGGATATTATGTAATTTAGATTGGAGGAATACCTTCTTATACAAGTTCATCAGGTTACGATCATCAAATGGAAGATAACCAGCGAGTAATTCAAAAAGTATTACTCCGCAGGACCAAACATCGGCAGCCGCTCCCTCATAGCCCTTATTCATAAGCAGCTGTTCACCAAATCATGAAGCATTAACAATGGAATTGAAGGGACTTAGGTATGTGTGTTTTCCTCGTACAAGAAAATTTTTATTTTCCTTTCTAATTTTGTTGCATCCTCTCTCTTGTGAGAAAACAGTTTATGATGGAGAAAAAAGAAGTTATTGATTGGTAGTTTAATAGGATGGGTTAATTTTACTTTTATCCCTTATACTCTCACCATTTTTCATGTTTCATCCCTAAACTATCAATTTCATCTATAGAAGTCTCTGAGGTTACTGGTTTGTAAGCTTGATTTGATGGATAAAAAGGTTACTTCAAAATTTGAACAACCTAAACCATAAAACCAACACTCATTTTTCTTTCTATTTTGAACAAACTATACTGCACAACCAATTTGATGGGTGTTTGATTGTGTGGTTAAATTCTTCAACTATTGAAATTACTTTTTTATCGATCAAATCAACCTTCAACAGTTACTGATTTATACAATTGTACTGAAATCAGAAATTTTAGGGACTAAATAGATGAAATTCTTAGTTTAAGGATGAAATGCAAAAAATTGATGATGGTTTAGCGAATAAAAGTGAAATTAACCCTAAGACGAAAGTTTTGTTTCTTACCTCTGGTGCTACGTAGCTTGGAGAGCCACAGGCAGTAGATAGCAGGTCTCCAGGCTGTTGAGACACCAATTATTAGCTTGAAACTTGTAGAATACATAAAAATGTCTACCACAGAACTAGAAACCCTATTATTACCAATGTAGCGAAAGTGTACAAGTAGTTGTTACCTTTCGTAATGCACTAAGTCCAAAATCAGATACTTTCAGATTTCCTTTGCTGTTCAATAGCAAGTTTTCTGGCTGTACATGAAATGCCAAGAATAAGATCGGAGTCAATTTCCATAGTTCCCTTTTTGGAGAATTGTGAAAAATTATTTGAGGAAGATAGTTTTGTTCTGACCTTTAGATCTCTGTGGTAAACCCCTCTGCAATGGCAATAATCTACAGCGTCGATTAACTGCTGAAAGTGTTTCCTTGCTTCTCTTTCATTTAACCTATTAATATAAGACTGGACCAAAAAAAAAAAAAAAAGAAAAAGAAAAGAGGCTCAAGATATTTAGAATTATCCGTACGACAATGCTACGTAGCTCAAATTTTGTGGCTCAAATGGCCAAAACGATGTTGTTTTGAGTACAAAACAACATAAAAATGGCCAAAACGACGTCGTTTTGGCCATTTGAGCCACTTTTGAGCCACAAAATTTGAGCTACAAGACATTTTCCTTATCCGTAACGCCATCCCTGGATTCCCAAGTCTGATATTGAATCTCACCAGCTTGTCTGATAGCTGCCCTCCTGATACATACTCCATTACAATGTAAATCTTTGTTTTCGTGCCGATTACCTGTGATTTGAAATCATTGTCTAGTTCAAGAAAATATTATTTGTTGGTATGTCAAAATGAAAATTTTAACGCATCCAACATACCTCATGTATCCTGACGATGTTAGGATGACGCAGGAGCTTCATTGTTCTTATTTCTCTCTGTACCTATAAAAAAGAGCTCCATGTATCAAGAAAGATGCATAGTTCAAACCACAACAACTAATCAAGCTTTTGCATTTCTATCTATGACTGACACACAAGACACACTGAAACAGGTATAAGAAATGGGTTGGGAATCGGAATTCACCTGGTAGATGAGATTGTTTTCGATGACCATATGTTTGTCAATGATCTTGATTGCAACATGCTGGCCATTTTCTGTGTTTGTGGCCAGTTTAACCTTGGCGAAAGTACCTTCTCCGATTGTTCGACTGAGTTGGTACTTCCCAATGCTATTTGCATATCCCATTTTCTCTTTCAAACAAATTTAATTTCTTAATCTTCCAACTTCTAGGAAGCTCTGCTCTTCTTCCTTCCTTCTAGACCCCCTGTAAGTGTTCTTTGTATCCACTCTGTTCTAATTTGTTGCTGAATATTGAAGCAATTTGATTCAGTTTCGATGACCTTTCGTGCTTCTTTTTGATGGATTCAATTGCCATCCTTGTGAGTCTCAAGCCTTTTGTTTTTGGGCAAGAAATCTCATGTCTTAAATATATATATATATATATATATAGAGAGAGAGAGAGAGAGAGAGAGAGAGATTCACATTATGTTTTGAATTTTGTTCAAAAGGTTTAAAAGAGTACCCATTGTGTGTGGCTTGTTTGCATGGATGGAAACTGGAAAGGGGGGTAACTACTTGCTGTTTGGCTAGTTGTTGAGTGTATAGAATGGAAGGTGGTGGCTGTTGTTTGGTCACACGTTCTCTCTAACAACCCCATAGCAAAGCCAAAGGGTTACACTAGGTGCATAAATTTTATTCAACTCTGTAAATTTGAGTCTGTTTTACTCAGTTTATGGAGTCGCATGTAACCTTTTTTGTTTTTTTTTTTTTGAAAATTTATGTGTGTTTATTGCAACTTTTGTTTACACAATTTATGCGTCAAAAATAGCTTAAATAAGCTGAAAATTTTGATTTTTGAAAAGTAGAAGAGATGCTTTTGGATTATGTTTTCTAATTATAAATTTTCAGTTTGTTAAAAACTACACCAAACATGCCATTTACTCTTAATCTTTGATTAAGCTTAAATTTGGCAAGCACCACTGACACAAGGGAAGCCCTTAACGACAGTCTTGTCATTGGCATGATCCGTTTCACTAATACATTTTCTCTGATTTGATATTCTGTTGAGTTTGTATAATTTGATTTCTTGTTTTAAGAAATGGAAATTTGATTAGGAGTAAATTTAATTGATACATTTTCTCCAATTTGAGTAAACTATAAAATTTGTATAATTTCCTTGATTTTTTGTGTTATGAAATCCAATTGAAATTTAACGGATTCAGGTTAGAATCACGAGTCTACCTTAAATGCCAAAATTTATGAAAGTGCTCTTTATAAAACTAAATTTTAGAAAAATAGTTTGTAAAAAATATGGGGTAAACTATACTTTGTCCTTTTTATGTTTAGTCATTTCTTTACGTTGGTCTTTAAAGTTTAATTTTTCTTATTTTGGTCCTTCCTTTTTTTTTTCTTTTCCTAGTTTACTCTTAAAACTAATTTTTGTTCAAAATTAAACAAAAAATGCCGCGTTAATTGCCACACAGTATGAAAAACATATTATTATATTAGAGTTTGGGTTTGTGTCAGAGGTGTGACTATCAATGTATTATTTTCTGTCTAATTTAAAAAAATTGAAAAAACTTGAAATATGAATAGTTAAAGTAGAGAAAAAATGGTGACAATATATAAAGTGAAAAATGACCAAACATAAAGAGTAAAATGTTAGTTTTCCTAAAATATATAATATAATTGTGTAGTAAACTTCACTATAATAAATGGTGACAATTTATTATATAAAGACTTGTATACTGTATATTATTTTATGTAATATGTAAAACTAGTAAAACAAACTTAGGCCTCGTTTGGCAAGAGGCTATTTTAGCCAATTAGCCAAAAAGTTACTAAATTAGCCAAAAAGCCAACAACCCATACCAAAAAGTCAAAGATTCTCTTTTCTCTCTACTTTTTGCACATCTTTTCGTAATTAGTCAAAAAGTCATCCCAAACATACAAGTTTTTTTTACCTACCTTTTTAGCCAAATAGCCAAAAAGTTACTAAATTAGTCTGTTCCCAAACGAGGCCTAAATTTTAGAAAAATAGTTTGTAAAAAATATGGGGTAAATTATACTTTGCCTTTTTTATGTTTAGTCATTTCTTTACTTTGGTCTTTAAAGTTTAATTTTTCTTATTTTGGTCCTTCATTTTTTTTTTCTTTTCCTAGTTTACTCTTAAAACTAATTTCTGTTCAAAATTAAACAAAAAATGTCGCGTTAATTGCCACATAGTATGAAAAACATATTATTATATTAGAGTTTGGGTTTGTGTCAGAGGTGTGACTATCAATGTATTATTTTTTGTCTAATTTTAAAAAATTAAAAAAACTTGAAACATGAATAGTTAAAGTAGAGAAAAAATGGTGACAATATATAAAGTGAAAAATGACCAAACATAAAGAGTAAAGTGTACTTTATCTAAAATATATAATATGATTGTGTAGTAAACTTCACTATAATAAACGGTGACAATTTATTATATAAAGACTTGTATACTGTATATTATTTTATGAAATATATGTGTGGGTTGGTCAGGTAACTTAATAATTGAACCGATTTAATTGAGTTGGTGATTTTTAGATCCAAAATCAAACTAAAATCAAACTGTTCCCTAAGAATCGAACAAATCTTAACCTACCATTCGAGTTAGTTCGAATTTATTTATTTATTTATTTTTTCACCCAAACCCTAGAATTGGAGTTTTGTTCAATTTGCTGTTTTTGTTTTTATTTTTTGGGGTTTTGTGTCTACCCTAATAAGGGTAATACAGCTTCTCTTAGGAGGCCAGAATCACAAACAGACACAACCTTAGCAAATAATTGAATACAAAATAGGGAAGAGATAAAGAAGCATACTCTGTCAATGAACTTTCCCTAATCCTAACCATTCTATCATGTGTTGTTCCTTGTTTGTTTTTTCTTTTTTTGGTGATTATTTATTTTTGTGTTATTTTGGATTTACTTTGCATGTGATTGTATCATCAAATTCATCTTTAACCTAGTCCTGATTTTGTTTATCCTTATATAATGAAGCTAAAGTTGTGACGGGTACCTACCAAATAAATAAACAAATATAGAATGAAGAAAAATATAGGTGGAATTGTAAACAAGTTAACAGTGCAAAGTAGAAAAAGTAATTATAAAAATGTGGAGGTGTAATTGGGATTTGTTCTCTAATATAAGTAATAAGTTACAGTTTTACCTACATCAAAGCACAGGCTAGCTTATATTTTCATAATTTCGTAATTACTTTATTAGTAATGTTTGGTAGCTTGAAAATTCATGGTTCAAATGGCTCGAATGTGTCAAAACGAAGTTGTTTTGGGATAAAATGACATCGTTTTAATACATTCGACTTATTCGGACTATACAAATTTAGGCCACCAAGTATTTTTCTTACTTTATTTACTTTTGATTTGTAATTATCCCAAATATCTATATATTTTGGTCATTTTTGCTTGTGTGCATCTTTAAAATGAGACAAAAATACACGTGTTTGCACCTCTATTACTTAGTATTAATGACTTAATAATCGCTAACAATTAATAATATTTTCAGGAAACAACTTGACGGTTAATAATTTGATATTTTCAATTGTTTAACAAATAAATTTTTTCTGAAAAACTATTGCATATTAATAATTTTTAAGATATTAATTTTTAAGATGGGAAATTCTCATACCCGTCTACATATATGTAATAGATATTAGGATAAATTACACATAATATCCTTGTATTTTCACAAAAGTTTTACTTTGCTACCTTCATTTTCAATTGTAGCATTTAACTCCCGATATTTTAAATCAAGTTCCAACCTCACCATGCCGCCATTCACTGTTAATAAAGCTATCAAAAGTTGAAAGTTGAGAGATTAAAGTTAGATTTTGGTAAAAAAAAATGTAAGGACTAAAGTGAGATTTTAATAAAGTGTAAAGGTACTAATGGGGTGCCTCTATTTATACACCACCTTTCATCTCAAGGCACATCATTACTCAAGGCACACCTTTAGTAATTTGATAAATACAAAATTTGCTTAATACACACCATAATCTTCTATCTTTACCCTTACTCACACACCTCATCCACATCTTTCATCTTCACCATTACTCACTCACACACCCCACCCACGATCTTTCATCTTTCCCTCCATTCTCTGTTTCATCAAAGACATCGGTGGAAACAACTCCACATTGGAGATACAGTATGTGAGAATTCTTATTTTGCTTAGATTTGAGGGTTTTATGTACGTTTTTCCGTTGTCATGAGTATTGTATATGAACGTTTGATTTTGCAAACCGTTCGACACTGGTCTGTTGAACATTAACTTTTTGTCCGGAGTGTTTCTGTCGAACAACTTCAATATGTTCGACATTTTAGTGTCGAACAAAATTCAATAGTTCAACTTTGTAGTTCCGAACGGACTTATCCTTCACTGTTTTCTGTTTCATTTTTAGAAATTGATGACCATTTTGCGTATTCCACCCACTACCCTCAAACCAATAAGAAATTTGCTTCTTTCTTCTAATGAGCAGAGTAAGAACGTCGTTGTTAAAGAAATATTTTTGAGGTTAAACAACACTATGACGGAGAAGAAAGTATTGTATTTACAAAAAAAAAAGGCACCAATCATGTCAAAGTACAAATAATTCCATTCTTGTCAGCAGAGGCAAGAGGTTTTCCAATGCCACTCCACGAACAACATAGAACAAAAGCAGTGGTGAAATGGCGACAGCTGCAACAATGGTGGCTAGAGTTAGGGTTTGGATGTTGTATATTCAACTAAGGTGTGTATTGATATTTTTTTGTGGTCATTTTGGTCATTTTAGGTAAGGTCATTATTATAATAAAAAATAACCAATTAATGGTGTGTCTTGAGACAAAATGTGGTGTGTAAATAGAGGCACTCGTACCAATGAGACAACAAAAATGTCTCACATGATTCAAATGACAAGTTTCATTATATTTGTCAATGATAGACAAGTGGAAGGTTCAGATTGTAACTTTACTTAAAGTGTAAATAGTTTACTGTTACAATTGAAAGTGAAGGGATTAAAGTGAGATTTTGATAAAAGAGTAGAAATACTAAGTGTAATTTACCCTAGATATTATTCGATAAGAGGTATTAACTTTCATTAGTAATTTCCTTACAACATATAGACCATAAATAGTACATATTTTTTCAAGAAAATTTGTTATTCTAAAAAAATATATATCTGCACATTTTATTTTTATGCTAAAAAAGTAATTTACTTTTAGTAATCATCGACTTCATGTTAAGTGATATTTTGCTTTTAAACTTTAGTCAACCAACTTTGTGTGTGAAAAAGTTTCCAGCCCATTTATGCTCAAAAACTTTAGCCAACCAATTTATGCTCAAAAACTTTAGACAACTTCCATGTTATGCACATGTTTCACTACTTACATATGTTTATTCATACATGGGTTGTGAAAAAGGTTTCAAGCCTTCACAACAGAAGTTTTAAATAGCAATTTTGAAATACTTAGAAAAGCAATCTAAAAACATGGGTAAAACTAACGTGATTAATCCGATTGATTAGAATTTATGCATCTTATTAGAAAGTTAATGGTTTGAATCTCTATATTTATGTATGGGTTTTATGTCCTGTATATATATATATATCAAGACTTTTCTTTCCCACTTTGGGAGTTTTTTGTATATATTTTTTATTTTAGATTTGATTTTTATCATTATAGACATTATTGTAATATCATATACTAATAAATAAATAAACAGTACTTTTACCCCCATTTCGATAATTTAAACCGTTCATTTTATCAGATATTTCATGTATTTAATTCACACAAAAAATTAAGTGGATTCGATAACTATAACTAGTTCAATTTATTGCGTCTATCATAAAAAAATCTATGATTTTTTTTTGTCGACTATTTTTTTTTTTGTAAAAAATGCAGTAAATTGAAATAGTTACAGTTATCGGATCGACCTAATTTTTTTGTAGATGAAATACACGAAGTACCCAACAAAATAAACTGTTTGAATCATTGAAACGGAAGTACCCTCTTGTTTAGTTTTTGGATTGGAGGAAATCCTCCTCCTAATCCTTATTTAGTGGATAAATTATTGTTCTAATAACGTCATGGATGACAAATTTTAACCCTTTTGAACATCATACTTTGAATTATCAATGGGAGGAAGCTTCTTTCAAATAAATAATAATTTTCTTTCAAATAAAAAATAGTAAGCGTGGGGTGTTTGATAACCAAATTTAGCATTTAAAATTGAATGTATTAAGTAATAATTAATTAAGTCTATTTGATAATCACAATTGATATCACTTAAAATTTTTAGTCTCTTAAAATATAGGCTAAAACTTAAGAAAATTTTTAAGTCATATGAAACTTACCTAATTCTGACTGAATTTATAAATACCAAATATAGTATTACCACAGCTACCACCACTACCATCATTGCTACTGTTACCATCACCATGCCTCTGCCACCACTACCGCCGCCACCACCACCACATTTATCACCATTATCATTGTTGTCATAAGTACCACCATCATTTTTCTATCACTATCATCGCTACCACATCTACCACCACCCATCAACACTACTGCTACCACCACCGTGCCACCGCCGCCACTGTTGCTGCTACCACCATCATACCATCACAACTACCACCACTACTACCGCCATCACAATATAAAATTGAAATATACAATTTGAAATAATAAATTTTAAATTTGATATTATACATGTCAAACAAATTATTTTTAGTTCAGCACTTAAATTTTTGTCAAACAGTTTTTCAACTTAAAAAATTAATATTAATTTTTAATTTTCAATTTTTAACTTTATCAAACGTTCACCTAAACCCTTCTCTTGTCCCCCATCGTGTAAAGCTCGAGGTTTTTGTAACAAGAAGCTTTATGGGTAAATTACACTTAGTGCTCTTATATTTGCCTCAAAATCTCACTTTAATCCTTTTACTTTTCAATTGTAATAGTCAACCCTCTATATTTTAAGTCAAGTTGCAATCACACCTTTACATCCATCTACTGTTAACAAAGTTGATGGAATTTGTCATTTGAAGATGTGATATTTTTGTTGTCTCATTAGCACACTTACTTTTTTACTGAAATCTCACTTTAATCCTTACACTTTAACTAAAATTTTATTTTAGTCTCTCCACTTTCAATTTCCATTAGTTTTATTAACGGTAGATAACAGAAGGGTGAGATTGAAATTTGATTTAAAGTGTAGAGTATTGACTGTTACAATTGAAAGTGAAAGAATCAAAATGTATGGGTGTTAGGTATAATTTACCCTAGTTTTATATTTATAAATTTTCAGTTTGTTAAACACTACATCAAACATGCCATTTACTCTTAATCTTTGATTAAGCTTAAGTTTGGCAAGCACCAATGACACAAGGGAAGCCCTTAACGACAGTCTTGTCATTAGCATGATCCGTTTCACTAATACATTTTCTCTGATTTGATAATCTGTTGAGTTTGTATAATTTGATTTCTTGTTTTAAGAAATGGAAATTTGATTAGGGAGTAAATTTAATTGATACATTTTCTCCAATTTGAGTAACCTATAAAATTTGTATAATTTCCTTGATTTTTTGTGTTATGAAATCCAATTGAAATTTAATGGATTCATTCACTATCACCTTTGAAAAATAACTTCCTCTTTGTGTAAGAGGATATTTTTCTTAAGACCGAAATGATGGTTTTATGAAAAATATCAATGATTCAAAATGAAAAATTGACTTGTGTTAGCTTACTTTAATCTCATAACCGAATTGAGGAACTCAATCTGATATTCAGGTTAGAATCAGGAGTCTACCTTAAATGTCAAAATTTTATAAAAGTGCTCTTTATAAAACTAAATTTTAGAAAAATAGTTTGTAAAAAATATGGGGTTAATTATACTTTGTCCTTTTTATGTTTAGTCATTTCTTTACTTTGGTCTTTAAAGTTTAATTTTTCTTATTTTGGTCCTTCAATTTTTTTTTCCTAGTTTACTCTTTAAACTAATTTCTGTTCAAAATTAAACAAAAAATGTCACGTTAATTGCCACATAATATGAAAAACATATTATTATATTAGAGTTTGGGTTTGTGTCAGAGGTGTGACTATCAATGTATTATTTTCTGTCTAATTTAAAAAAATTGAAAAAACTTGAAACATTAATAGTTAAAGTAGAGAAAAAATGGTGACAATATATAAAGTGAAAAATGACCAAACATAAAGAGTAAAATGTTAGTTTTCCTAAAATATATAATATAATTGTGTAGTAAACTTCACTATAATAAATGGTGACAATTTATTATATAAAGACTTGTATATTGTATACAAAATTTTATGTAATATATGTGTAGGTTGGTCGGGCTAACTTCAAAATTGAACCAATTTAATTGAGTTGATCATTTTTAGATCCAAAATCAAACTAAAATCAAATCGTTCCCTAAGAATCGAACAAATCTTAACCTACCATTCAAGTTAGTTCGAATTTATTTATTTTTATTTTTTTTCGCCCAAACCCTAGAATTGGAGTTTTGTTCAATTTGCTGTTTTTGTTTTTATTTTTTTGGGTCTTATGTCTACCCTAATAAGGGTAATACAGCTTCTCTTAGGAGGCCATCATCACATACAGACACAGCCTTAGGAAATAATTGAATACAAAATAGGGAAGAGATAAAGAAGCATACTCTGTCAATGAACTTTTCCTAATCCTAACCATTCTACCATTTGTTGTTCCTTGTTTGTTTTTTCTTTTTTGGTGATTATTTATTTTTGTGTTATTTTGGATTTACTTTGCATGTGATTGTATCATCATATTCATCTTTAACCTAATCTTGATTTTGTTTATCCTTATATAATGAATCTAAAGTTGTTATGGGTACCTACCAAATAAACAAACAATTATAGAATGAAGAAAGATATAGTGGAATTGTAAAAATAAATTGTAAAAATGTGGAGATGTAAATGGGATTTGTTCTCTAGTACAAATAATAAGTTCAGTTTTACCTACATCAAATCACAGACTAACTTATATTTTCATAATTTTGTAATTCCTTTATTTATTTTTGATTTGTAATTATCCCAAAGACCTATATATTTTGTTCATTTTTGCTTGTGTGCATCTTTAAAATGGGACAAAAATACACTTACATGTGCACCTCTATTACTTAATATTAATGACTTAATAATCTCTAACAATTAATAATATTTGCAGGAAACAACTTGGCAGTTAATAATTAATATTTTCAATTGTTTAACAAATAATTTTTCATTTTATTTTTTTGTGAAAAACTATTGTATATTAATAATTTTTAGGATATTAATTTTTAAGATGGAAAATGCTCATACCCGTCTACATATATGTAATAGATATTAGGATAAATTACACATAATATCCTTGTATTTTCACAAAAGTTTCACTTTGCTTCCTTCATTTTAAATTTTAGCATTTAACTCCCTGTATTTTAAATCAAGTTCCAATCTCACCATTCCGGCCAATTACTGTTAATAAAGCTATCAAAAGTTGAAAGTTGAGAGATTAAAGTAAGATTTTGATTAAAAAAAATGTAAGGATTAAAGTGAGATTTTAATAAAAGTGTAAAGGTTGAGACAACAAAAATGTCACACATACTTCAAAAGACAAGTTTCATTATATATGTCAATGATAGACAAATGGAAGGTTCAGATTGCAACTTTACTTAAAATATAAATTGTTTAACATTACAATTGAAAGTGAAGGGATTAAAGTGAAATTTTGATAAAAGAGTAAAATAGTAAGTGTAATTTACCTTAGATATTATTAGATAAGAGGTATTAACTTTCATTAGTAATTTCCTCACAACATATAGACCATAAATATTGCATATTTTTTCAAGAAAATTTGTTATTCTAAAAAAAATATATCTGCACATTTTATTTTTATGCTAAAAAAGTATATTATTTTTAGTAATCATCGACTTCATGCTCGAAAACTTTAGTCAACCAACTTTGTGTGTGAAAAAGTTTCAAGCCAATTTATGCTCGAAAACTTTGGTCAACTTCCATGTCATGCACATGTTTCACAACTTACATATGTTTATTCATACATTGGTTTTGTGAAAAAGGTTTCAAGCCTTCACAACAGAAGTTTTAAATAGTAATTTTGAAATATTTAGAAAAGCAATCTAAAAACATGGGTAAAACTAATGTGATTAATCCGATTGACTAGAATTTAAGCATCTTATTAAAAAGTTAATGGTTTGAATCTCTACACTTATATGTGGGTCTTAT